ATATATATATATATAATTATTTTGTTTATTAAATATCATTGACTTTCTTTTAAAACTCTGTTGTAGCCCATCCCTATGAGGAATAAACTGATGTTCATGATGTATTGAAACTTTAGTGTTAAACTCTTAAAAATTCTGTTTTTTAGGATGCATCTGTACTGCACCTGTAGCTCAAAATAAGGTACGCAATTTGAGCTACACAAATTGCATAGCTTATTTCGAGTCAATTTCAAAATAGTTTATTTTGAAATTTGGTGCTGTCTATGCAGCACTTATTTCGAAATAAATCACTATTCCAAAATGTGCCTTACTCCTTGTGGAATGAGGTTTACAAGGATGTCGGAATAGCAAGCCCATTATATTTCGAAATAATGGACATGCTCAAAAGACACACAATAGCTATTTTGGGATACCTCCAGTATCCCATAATAGCATTGCAGTGTAGACGTAGCCTTAGTGTCATATATTTTACACTGGAAACTATTTTTTCTAGATGGTTCCCTGTCATACGAAAATATATAGTTTGCATAAAATTATTATTTTGAAAACAATTCCAAAACTGGATTAACAGTTGGTAGATTTTATAGTTATAAAATATAAACCAATTATATTTCAATGCATCTTGAAATAATTAATTTGTGCATCTCTCTGGCACTGTTAGTATAAATGTTCCTTGTTTAATAATGTGGTTTTTTGAGGGGCAACTCTTGTTCCCTGGACCCAGCTAGAATAACTAAACTTTGTGCTGGGAAGATCTTTGGGACAGGAGCCCCTTTTAGTCTGTGCAAATCCTTTTAGTCTGTGCTGAGAGTCCATTGGTTATTCTGTAGCTACTTTTCAGTTTCGGGTTTCAGTAACCTCTGCAGCTTTTCTGTCCTTGTTATCCTGAGGGTGGTCTGTGGTTGGGAAGTCCGTATTATGACAAATCATTCAGCGTCACCATCTACCGAAACAAAATACAGGACTATGTAGCACTTTAAAGACTAACAAGATGGTTTATTAGATGATGAGCTTTCGTGGGCCAGACCCACTTCCTCAGATCAAATAATGGAAGAAAATAGTCACAACCATATATACCAAAGGATACAAGAAAATTCTCCCATCACCCTAGCTACCATCTCTTGAGAGAGGTGTAATACCTACATCAAAAGTAAAGCCCCTCCCATCAGCAAACAGTGTCTTCACAACAGCCTTTTAAGTGTACACAACCCCTCAAGTGACATTAAAAAGGAGCACAGTCATACCGGGTCTGTAGATGTGGCCATGCCATGAGTTTTGAAACACTTTGTGAACTTTAAGTGGTCTGCCTTTTCCATGCAGTAGAAGAGCTAAAGGATGAGCCTTATGCACCCTTTAGTAAGATTAATTCAATGCAAAAATCAAAAATTTACTGGCTTCCCGCAGCTCCCCTTGGCTGCAAAGGACAAAACAGCCAAAGGGAGCTGCGAAGCTCCATGGCCGTGATGCCAGTAAATAAACAAACCGGGGCAGCCAATTAATGTGTTTCTCAAGGTGGTTTCGCAGAACACTTTCAGAAACACTGCTCTAGAGTCTGTAGCACAGGATTTCTTTGCACTATTTCTATACCACAGAATCAAATTTAACTTTGTTATAAATTCTTCAATATGAAGTGGAAATAGAGCTATGAAATTCAAACATATTTACTATTGACCTATTAAATGTAGCAGAGGGGGCAAAGGGTGAAGATTTCTATTTCAAATATCCCTTAGCCCTTACAGTAGAGCAAAAATTAAATTCTGTGAATTTGCAGAGGGCAAAAGGATAATTTTAAAAAAGCCTATTTAAGATAGGCATGCTGTCATTTTGAGGCAACAGTGGAACCACAGCTCCCAAGTGTATTTTTTTCGGGGTTCTATGTCCTACTGCTCATGCTCTTCCCCTGTCTGTAATCCATTTTTCTGGGTTTTGATACCTGCAAAGGGTAGATCATATGTTTGCTAAAAATAAACATTGAAAATGTGAGATGTTAGAATAAACATTTTCCCACCTGTCCTCTGTTTAGAGTCTTATGATTAAGCATAGCAGAATTTGATTTTTATTTTTTTATAATTTTAACATATCAATACTTAGTTTTAAGCATTTTTTCAATGTTTATCAATTTCCGTTTTCACAGTGCACAAAAGTCGGCTTTAAGCTTTTTGTTTTGATTTTTACATTTTTTTCACAATTGTGGGACATTATGGTGGGAATTGGACAATAATTATTTAATTACAGGAGATGTTGTGATTAAAAAACTTTTCCTTAAATCAAAATCTTAAGTTCTCAAGCAGCGTTTTTGTTTCTTTGATGATCTTTACATTTTAGATTGTTAATGGAAATGGGGTTTTCATTTGGTTTGTGTACAGTGAAATCATTTTTTTCTGATATTTACCAATAGAAATCTAAACCTCGCAAGACTGATTCTGATTTGTGTGTGTGGAGGGGGGTGTACGATAACAAACTTTTGCACATGAAAGTCCTCTTGTGCCACTTGTTGACTAATAGTAGTTATCTGAAATACTTATGTTTAAGCACTTACCTTTCTAGGATATTTGTAGGGGGCAGTGACCTTTTTAACATGATCCTGTAGCTCTTTAATCAGTTTTTGAGAGTCATGTGAAACATAGTCAGATGCCAAAACAATGAAGGCTTTCACTACCTTAAAAGATTAAATGTTGATGAAACAATATCCACACAATACAGTACAAGGTCCTAATTAATATTTAACAAAATTCACTTGCTGACAAATTACAAAGTAACTAATTTACAGTGTTTATATGAAAACATTATCAAACTGAGTGCAATATTAACAATTTGTCTAAGTCCAGCAGCTGGCCATATGTGTAATATGAAGGAAATAGAGTAAATTGCAGCTGGATTATCTTTAATTTACAATTGCAACCTATAGGAACTATAAGTCCCCATTAAAAATTGTATAAGCAGTATGGATGCTCCAAATGAAGATTTGGAATGTGGGGCCTTTGTGAGCTGCACCTCCGTATTCATTGTAATGAGGATTGCAGTCAATTTTTGCCATGCAGTGATGGCCCCTATAGAGCTACTGTCTCTCTAGATCAGTGATAGGCAACCTAGGCTAGTAAGTAGGCATGAGTGGCCCTCCATCTCAGTGGGCCACAAGACTCTCACAATGAAGATGGTCTCTCAGGATAGGATAGTTTTGCTAACTGCACTTGCATACCTAAAATTTGTAGGGTACGCCAACTGAACCATGGCAGTGCTAAATGCAGAGGGAGCACAGTCAATGTTGTGTGCAATTAGCATGACCTCATTTCACACGCATGTCACTTTAGTAATACCAATAGGAAAAACCTACATGGGCAAAAACTAGGGGAACCTGGCAAATCTACATATGGGTTATTGTAAACAAAATGTCTTGCGGGCCACATGTACAATCCCAATGAGCTCCAGGTGGCCTTTGGGCCACAGTTTGCCCACCACTGGCCTAGATGAACATTAAGAATTTGAAAAAAATTAGTAGTCCTGTAGCACTTCAGAGACTAACAAAATATATCTAAATAGTATCATGAGCTTTCATGGGCAAAACACACTTACTCAGATGAAGAGAGAAAAAGGGTGGACAAAAAAGGGGAACCTTTACATTTAAATGTGGAGGTTCCCCCCCTTTTCTACACTCATCTGAAGAAAAGGGTTTTGCCCAGGAAAGCTCATGTCTCTGTGTGTGTCTATATAGAGAGAGAAGGGGAGGGGGGGAAACAAACACTACTCATTTTTGTAAGTTACAGACTAACATGGCTACCCCTTTGAAACTATTAAGAATTTGCTGAGTGCTTTGATATGAATGGAACAATTCAACAACTGTTTGGAGTAGCCAGTTGCCTTAGGACTCTGGTTAAGGGTTTTTTAAAATGCATATTTGTATAATGAAATTCAAGCATATAATTTATCTAAGTCTTTTACCTCTCCTCTGATGGGATCTGGACTGCTGACAACAGCTGATTCTACTACTGCTGGGTGCTCTATCAGTGCACTTTCTACTTCAAATGGTCCAATACGATATCTTTAAAATGAAGAAAAGTCTTTTATTATTATATATTTTATGAGATGGTGATGTGTGCATATAAAACATACATTCAGCTGTGCCTTGGTATTATTTGAGTCCTACCATTGTAATGAATGCACACACAAATTGTTACCCAGCAGAATTGATGACATCATCAGTTCTTCCAACAAACCAGAAATAGCCATCTTTATCCACAATCCCTCTGTCCCCGGTGATATAGAAATTTCCTCGTAATGTTGATTCAGTTCTCTCTGGATCATCCTAGTAAACATTAAATTGTATTTGACAAACATTAACCTTCCTGCAAATAAAAAAATTATACTCTGAGGTATGTAAGAAACTGGTTTAATTTAATTCCAGCACTTGATTTTATTACAGCATAATTTAGCATGCAAAACCTCAGTTTTGTTGAGTATTCCATATGAGAGGGATATGTATTAAATTCCAGAAGAGGCTTAACAACATGAATAGAAAACATTTTTTCAAACATTATTCAGATTTATAATTGTAAATTGAATAATACCCATAACACAGAAAATTAAAAAAGAAAGTCAACATGTAGAGTGAATATATAATTGTTGTGGGTTATGTCTTTGACTATGTTTTAGAATTGTGTTTTTAATCATAATGAACTACACAAAATATACAGCTTAACGCACAATATTAGGAAACTTTGATTATGGGCTGAGCAGTCTGTTATGTAGTGTTAATTTGATTTGAGGGAAGATTTCCCAATTCTTATTTTCCTTTTTTGTCTATGTGCCTCCCTCTCCTGTTTCCCCAGTTATTAAATAAAAAAGATTTGTTTTGGGGTGACGAATCCTAGCTAATGAAGGGGTAGATGCAGCTCTCTCTAAAGCAAACTAAACCGACTCCTCGATTAGCTGGAGGGGGTTAAACAATGGCAATGTTTTGTTCCCCTCCCTTACTGCCCTGCTGAGAGAGCCTGGTCACAATTGGTTTTAATAAATGAAAATACCTTTTAAATTTAATTTACTCTGCTACAGTAGTAAAGAGGAAGTTGCTTCTTATCTACTATTACATTATATGGTGGAAAGGAAAGTTATGTATCATATTAATTTTTTTCTAGAAAATGGGCCCCGTCAATGTGGCAGCCTTCACCTCTGCATCACTTGCCATCTGGAACCAGTAGCTTTTCACTTTAGTGAAAATCTGGTTTGAAAATAAATCTCACTTCCATTCAGTTGCAGTGTTTAGCTTTTGTAAACGGTTGTGGGATACAGCCTATATGGAAGAGATTTGTATCATCTTTCTGTGTTAGCACAGCGCTGTGCACAATGGGAACGGAATCTCTAGATGTTAACCAATACAAATAATAAAGTCTAATTTTGTAATCAGGAGAATTGTGTTTCAGGGGGTGAATAATAATTGAATGTTATTTTTGTTCAGAAATAAATAATTTTTAACAATTTTACAATTGACATTTGTTAAGTTGCTTACTATATACTGAGTGAAAAGGCAAGAAGGTCTTGTTGGCTTTACTTTGATGGCGATATCTCCTTCTTTTCCAGGAGGAAGAATATTGCCGTGGTCATCTACAATCTATACCCCAAACAAAATAGACAGTGTTACCCTGGTGTTTAATTTAAACTATAATTTTCATTAAACAAAACCTGCATGTTTATTTTGAAATACTGAATTATAAAAGTCAATAATAGAAGTGACTGCAGCCAGCAAGAGAAGCTTCTACTCCCAAATCAAACAGAATTATACTAATCACTGTACTTTGCATAGTTCCTTTCACCTGAAGATTCCAAAGCATTATGCAAACTTCAATTTAGCTTAGTAACACCCAACTGAGCAAAAAATAATATAGCAAGTGTCGTGATCAGGTAGGAAAAACGAAGCACAGAAAGTTGCCCAAAGACTTGCCTGCATTAGCAAGGCAATGCTGGAATTTGATCCTGCAGTTCCGGTCTGGCCAATAGACAACATTACTGTATACATTTTAGAAGTCTGATTTGCCTTTTATTTACTGAAAAATGCCTTATGTTCTCCTTTCTACCCTATGATTGCAAAATGAATAATTTAGAATATAAATATTATACTTACATTTCAGAGTATAGAATACAAAGCAGTATTAACAAGCTCGTTATGAAATGTTGGTTTGTACTGATCTTGCTAGTGCTTTTACGTAGCTTGTAAAACTAGGCAAATATCTAGATGAGTTGATGTACCCTCTAAGAAGGCATACCCACAGGAGTGCATAGCCCTGGTTGACACCTGCTGGTGTAGTGATCTAGTGCAGTCACTGAAAGCACACATATATAGTTCAATGTATTTTTCTAGAGAGATTCTCAGTGATGATATCATTCTTCCCTAAGGTGTAACTATTGAAAGCAGCCTGGTTTTGTTTTTGTTTTTGGTTTCCCCTACTGATTGGCTTGTTTCAATTTGCTGACAGGGTGGAGGCAAAGGAGGCAATTGCCCAGGAGTCCGAGTGATTTAAAAAGGGCTTGAGGGCAGTGTTCCCGGCTAATGTTTTTCATCCATGTGTGGAATTAATTTTGGAACCAAATTTTCAGGTGCTTGTATTCCTGAGACTTGCAGGGCTTCTTCCTGCACCCCTTCCCCCTGCCAAGCTCACATCCAGCAGGAGCCAGCTAATGAAGGCTCCCTACTGCCAGACTAGGGGCAGGAAGGAGGTTTTCAACCTCTGCAGCTCCACTCAGGTCTCAGAGAAACCCTCAAATACCAGTAAGCTACAGCGGGGGCGGGGAAGCAGGGCAGGGTCAGGAGGGCCTGGCGCTTCCCTCCCCTGCACAGCTCCTCCTGGTGAGCTCTGGGCCCTTTTAAATCACTCAGGCAGGCTGCAGAGCTCCTAGGTGCATACAAGGTTGTACCAGCAGTGGCAAAGACAGCTGCGGCAGGCATGTGGAAGCCTTGGCTGTACTGGAAGGATGCAACCAACAGTGCAGCTGGCAGCTAGCTGGGTACTTGCCAGGTGAACTGTGTCCATGTGGGTGTGCACGGCTTGTGCATGCATGGGAGCCCACTGACTGTTAGGTCCTGGGGTCCTGAATTGCTGTCAGCAGGCCTGGATTGTTTCCACCTTGGACCCAGAAGAAATTTCTCAAACTAATGAAAATTTGCATAATGCAAGAGGAATCTGACTTTCTGGAGATCTAAACTGAAAATGATTCAGCAGGTAGAAAAATTCCTCCTATTCCCTGAACTTGCTTGAGCCTCCTTCAGGAAAATTCAATACCTTCATGCTTGGAGGAAAAGGTCAGTAGGGCTTATCAATATAATGCACATACCTTGACATCATATGCTGGAGACGGCATTCCCATTGAACCTGGCTTAATTTTCATTCCCTTGAAAGTTCCACAAATCAACACCTACACCAAAAGGTTTTTAAAAGTAAACTCTGCCATCCCATCTTTTCAGTTTTAATGTATATTTAATATACTCAACTAGACTGGCAAAGACATTTACAGTCATAGCAACCTCTCAGAAACAACAATGAACACTTCATTATCATACATAAACTGAGTAAACTTCTAGGGAACAAATTTTACTCTCACAGTTATGCATATAGGTCCAATTGAAGTGAATATGAGGTTTTGTCTACAATTAAAAGTTTAAAGCTCAGCTGTAGCAGCCTCCCTCCCCTGTACTTCAGCAGGCCGGGGGAAGGTAGGAGCAGTGTGTTGTCCCAGGGGGTCAGCTGGCCAGGGTCAGGCTAAGGCTGAGTCCCCGCTTTCCCCAGAAGCAGGGGTGGGGCAGCCACCAGCCCCTCCCAAGGCTCGCACCCTCTCCCACAGAAATTCCTGCATGCGGGCCTGGAATGTACCGTTTCTGTCTGGCCATAACCTTCATAGATATCCAGCCCAGTTTGCTCTTTCCACTGCTCCATCACTTCAGGATTGATTGGCTCTCCTGCACTCACACAGTGCTGCAGGCTCTTGAATTTATAGCTTTGTATGAAAGAGAAAAAGTATAAACCGATTTTTAAAGGAGTTAAAACTGCCACAGTAAGGAAATACATATAAAAAGCAGATCTGATTCTTTGTATAGCTTTTTAGTAGAAATGTGCCAAATGGAGTTGCTTTTCCAAAGGAATGGGTGGGGGAGGGTGGTCAGGTTTTTAATCGCATGGTTTGTTGTGTTGGTTTATGCCCTGAAGCATGAGGGTTTATATCCTTCCAGAACTTCTTTTTCGTTTGCACGTGTTTTAAAGCCTCATTACAGTAGCTGTGGCTTCTCTCATATCTATAGCAATATAAAGGGTTTTTTAAAATTCATAATCTCAATAATACCTTGTGGCAATGAGTTCCACATGCAAATTGTTGATTGCATGAAAAGTAGCTACTGTTTTTTGTCTTAATGGTTCAGTCCTGCAAGTGACTCCACATGAGCAGATTCCTGTGCTTATGAGGCGCCACACCATTTCACTGAAGCTCTGTGTACAGCACGCCTGTACCCACATACAACTCTTCTGAAGTCAGTAGGGCTCTATATAGATGCAATATCCCTGTGAAATCACCCATCTGGATCAGAAACTCAATTTGCTGCCTTCCAATTTCATGAAATGGCACCTTGATCTTGTATATCTAGAAAGGGTGACTAGAACTGGCTGATCTACTTTCTTTGCTTGTATATAATTTCTACAGTATATAAAATATTTATTGAGCCCAGTTCATTTTAATGTAATTGCATGAAGCTAAACTGAAGATAAATTTGGCACATTGTGAAAGAATACATGTAAGACCGCAAGTTCAGTATTTTACATGACGTTAAAGGTAAAATGGTCTTTCTTAGCCTAAACTTCTAATTGGATTTTAAAATACGGAAGAATCTTGGCATTCAGCTCTAATGATATTCTCAAAAGCTTATTCATGCCATAGTACCATTGTCAGAATCACTAATCCTTGTACATTTCAGTCAGACTGATTTGCTACAAACGTACTCTTGTATGTTGTATTCCAGGTACATCAGTCATAGGGAAAAATATTTTGATAGTCCTGTTACATGGTCTTCCGGTAAACTAGGACTACAAAACAAAGCTTAAGATTTGAAGATTTGATTATAAAAGTGTATTTCCAGTACTTGAAGTATTGTCAGTGCTGCCAACCTGCTTTTTAAATTATATTATCTCCATGTCTGATATTATGGTATTCTGAATTTATTTCTAACTCAAAGATTTACCTAGGATTGCTCAGGTTGTTAGCTCAAACAAGTTTTAATTTTCTTCATTTAAATTGTTGTTCTGGTGGGGAGGGTCAGGGGTTCAGTATGCAGGCTGCCTTGGGGCAAGAGGGCACCTGCGGGATGGGAGGCTTGGGGCTGGGGCATTCATGAATCAGGGGGCATGTCCACAGCCAGCTCCTTTCATCTACCTGGTGATTCTGTCTCTTTTGTATGGTTTTATGAGAAGCAATCCCATTCCGGATACAGCCTTTTTTCCGGACACAACAAAACCCTTATCTTGGTTTTAAGTTGTGATGAGAGGGAACTGCTTACTGAATTGGTGGTCTTAGCTTTTACCATTTAGGAGGAGTTCTTGAACAGACAAACACAAATGCATGCTCTGACACACAAACAAATATATAGTAGATATGTAAAATTTAAGACATAAAAAATATCTGTTCTGTTGTAAACCTTGAGTAATTTAACCAAATTAAAAGCAGTATTTGGCAGTTTTGGCAAAATACAAAGATCAAATATGAAATATTTTGATAATTGTTTACCTGGTCAGATCATGCTGCACAAGCATTCGATAGGCAGTTGGAGCAGAACAGAAGGCTGTGATAGGAAATCTGGACAGTGTCTAGAGAATTTGAAATAAAAAACTGTCTGAATGTTGCACCCTAAAGTAACAATGCTTCCCACATTTATCTGACTCTCAAGGAAACCTAAATGTGGACATTGTAATAGCTCCAACCAATTAATAAACACATGACTGTAATGTTGTCAAGCCTTGAAAACACATATATGTTGAAGTCATATATACTTTCTCATCTAAATAGCTTTTTCTTTAAAATTGCAACTTATTTTATATCAGAGGAGTAGCTGTGTTAGTCTGAATCTGCAAAAGCGGCGAGGAGTCCTGTGGCACCTTATAAACTAACCGAAATGTTGGAGTATAAGCTTTTGTGGGCAAAGACCCACTTCATCAGATGCATGTAGTGGAAATTTCCAGAGGCAAGTATAAATATGCAGTCCAGAATCAGACTAGAGATGACAAGGTGGATCCAATCAGGGAGGATGAGGTCCACTTCTAGTAGCTGATCTGGAGGTGTGAATATCAAGAGAGGAGAAGCTGCTTTTGTAGTTAGCTAGCCATTCACAGTCTTTGTTTAATCCTGAGTTGATTGTGTCAAACTTGAAGATGAACTGTAGCTCAGCAGTTTCTCTTTGAAGTCTGGTCTTGAAGTTTTTTTGCTGCAGGATGGCTACCTTTAGATCTGCAATTGTGTGTCCAAGGAGACTGAAGTGTTCCCCTACAGGTTTTTGTATATTGCCATTCCTAATATGTGATTTGTGTCCATTTATTCTTTTACGTAGGGACTGTCCAGTTTGGCCGATGTATATAGCAGAGGGGCACTGTTGACACATGATGGCATATATTACGTTAGTAGATGTGCAGGAGAATGAACCAGTGACGGTATGGCTGATCTGGTTAGGTCCTGTGATGGTGTTGCTGGTATATATATGTGGGCAGAATTGGCACCGAGGTTTGTTGCATGGATTGGTTCCTGAGTTAGAGTTATTGTGAGGTGTGTAGTTGCTGGTGAGAATATGCTTCAGGTTGGCGGGTTTTCTGTGGGTTTCCCAAGGCCTGTGAAAGTGAGGGGTCATTGTCGAAGATGGGTTGTAGATCACTAATGATGTGTTGGAGAGGTTTTAGCTGAGGACTGTAGGTGATGGCCAGTCGTGTTCTGTTGGTTTCTTTCTTGGGCTTGTCCCATAGCAGGAAGCTTCTGGGTACACATCTGGCTCTGTTAATCTGTCTCCTCACTTCCTCGTGTGGGTATCGTCGTTTACAGAATGCTTGTTGAAGATCTTGTAAGTGTAGGTCTCTGTCTGAGGGGTTGGAGCATATGCCCACGAAAGCTTATGCTCCAACACTTTGGTTAGTCTATAAGGTGCCACAGGATTCCTCGCAACTTATTTTATAGTGTCATGTTGCAAGCATCTTGTCTCAGAAGGGTTTGCATTTTGTTTCAAAGCATTTCTTTGCAGCTACAGCTCTTATTACTCAAAAAACAACTAGAGCCGGAGGTATCATCTGTATAACATTCCGCAAGTATTCTGATAGTAGTTAGTGTTTTCCACAGTAACAGAATATAGAATGTCCCAAGTCAAGTGAATGATATGCTTGGTGATTTCTCACAGCATCCAAAGTTGTATGTATAAGGTAGTATATAATATAATGCCAATTCCTATTTATAAGGTTAAAAAACTCAATCTTCTATCATCTCCATTTTCAGTATTAAAATATTTACAGTTCATGTGATTGAAATGCCATACAACACTGATTTTCAGTTTGGGTTGTGACCCAGTACTGGGTGGTGGCAATATAGGCCCTAGGTCACCTTGCTGTAGGTGACAAGGTAACCAGTGGAGGTGCTAAGACCAGCTTCCTGCTTGTCCAGGCACAGCGACCCACGCTCTGCCCTGGAAGTAGTCAGCAGCAGGTCCCGCTCCTAGGTGGAGGTGAGTCGCCAACTCTCACAAGATAAAAAAGCAAAACAAGCCAAAACTGAAGTCAATCCCATTTCAAAACAAGCCCAAATGAGCTCTGTCCATTTTTGCTTAACAATGCCCAGAGACAAACCAGGAATTGGCCAATGGGAGTGTGGAGCCAGTGCTTGGGACGGGAGCAGCCTGTAGCCTGAACTTCAAACCCTTCCTCTGGCTTTCACCCCCCATACTCTCCCTCAATCCAAACCTCTCATCCCCGCAGCCCCAACCTAGAGCCTGCACTCTAGTAAAAATATATATAACTAGCTGGACTTACCCGGCATTGCTCGGGAAACCGGAGGAACAAAATTTAGAACATTTAGGAAAGGAGGGGACCCTGAGCAAGGGGATCCACAGAGCCACAGACCCTGGGGCCTGATTGCTCCTGGCCCACACCTGACCCTCTAAAAGCAGCAGGACCCTCCTCCCCCCAGGACGGAGCAGCCAGCTCCCAGGAGAACAGTACACAGTAATGCAGCCAGTAGCAAGGGGACTTCTCTTTGCAAAGTTGGCTCAGGGATCCACCTGCCCTGCCTTGGAAAGCAAACGCTCAGAGCTCACGTCTAACCCCCCGATGGCTGGAACCAGACACAGAAGAGCCCCACTCACAGACAAACAGCAGCCAGCTGCTTTCACTGCAGTGTAATGCATCGAGAGTTGAACCAGGACCCTGCGCTGCAGCAGGCACATGGAGTCCTGCTCAGATAAGCCCAGGGAGCTGAGCAGAAAGGCTGGCTGGCTTTGGTTTTGGTTTCTGGAGTGGGGTGTGTGGAGGTGTGGAGAGACCCCGGATGGAGGGGAGGTTACACGTGGGAGGGGCGCCCCAGCTTGCGCCCAGGGCTGCAGATGCTGCTTGGGGCAGGGCGGGTGCCCGAGCCATTGTGCGCATGGGGGTGAGGGCACTGCGTGCCAGTGGGGGGGAGGAGAGGGGAGAAGAGGGTCGGTTATGTAACCTCGCGGGCAGGAGGGGGCGAGTCCTGGGAGGCTACACATGGGAGGGGTGCCCCAGATCGCGCCCGGGGCCACAGATGCCGTGGGGGGCATGGCAGGACCCTGATCGGGTCCAAAAATACCTTAAAACCTTCTCTTGGATGAAAGGTTATCCCATGCAAAGTTTGGTTGTGGTAACTCTTATAGTGTCCAAGTTATTAGTGCACAAACTTACAAACATTCTCCTTTATATATTAAAGTATGCTGGGCTATGGGCATCAGGAATTTTCTTCAACTGGGTCACGGGAAAAAAGTTTGAAAACCACTGCCATACAAGATGCTCATGTATCCACTACTGTCATTCACTGTATAATAATAAAACTAGAGGATCCAAAAGTGCTTTATAAACTATGGTTCCATTCCTGCAAATGCTTGTATGTAAAAGCTTCATTTTATGCTGAACAGTAATGTTAGCAGGATCATGTACTAAAACGAGGGTTTTGTTTTGGGGGATTATTAATTTCATTTTTCAGGATTTATTTTTAACAATTTTTTAGTTTTCTGTAGCTGTCCAAAATCAGGGTTTGGGGGGGGCTCTTTGTACATATGGCAATGAGTCACATATACTATATACATTACTCAGAGCTACGCCACCTTATTTTCCAAAAGGTAAAATAACTCAGCATTTTTAAAAGCAGCGTCCTTGGAAATGACAGCTGTGTCCATCCGCCTGGGCCCAGCTCTCTGCTTTGGGCATTGCTACATGGGGCACAGTCACAATGCTACTCAGCTTTGGCTCATTTGCCCCTGCAAGATGATGCGTGAGACAGGCCAAATTGAGTGAGTAGCCTTCTTATTTGAGATATGGGGCTGCAGCATCCCTCTCTCAAATATGCCTGGCAATCTCTGTCATAAAAAAAATGTCTGAGCCAAATCTGAGTGGCGCTGTTACCTTGTGTGCACCAGCTTGCAATGCACACAGAAGGGAGTTGGGCCCAGCCCTGTGGGACAAGAGCGCCTACTGCAGGGTGAGTTCTGTCTGCAACAGCCCCCACAGTATCTCAACCCTCAGGAAAGTTCTGACATATACACCCCGGACCCTTCTTTCCATTTCTACTATAATAACATAGTACTCTTTCAAGCAGCACTATCTTAACATGAACCCTTTAGTCTGCACAGGCAGAATCTGCACAGACAATTAATGCACAATATGTTAGTGTACTTTAGAAATCTCAGCTCCACAGTCCATGACTGTTTCATGCATACAAGTAAGCATTTCCAGGCTTTTGCTGGTGTTTACTAGATAAATATTAATACCTTTTTTTTTTTTTAAATCAAAGGTGTTTTATCTTCATTTACTGGCAAAAACCTCAAATTAGAAGCCCTAACTGTAAGTTTGCTCAGCAAAGCACATAAGCACATGAATCATAGAATACTAGGACTGGAAGGGATCTTGAGAGGTCATCGAGTCCAGTCCCCTACCCTCATGGCAGGACCAAGTACTGACTAGACCATCCCTGATAGACATTTATCTAACCTACTCTTAAATATCCCCAGAGATGGAGATTCCACAACCTCCCTATGCAATTTATTCCAATGTTTGACCACCCTGACAGTTAGGAACTTTTTCCTAATGTCCAACCTAAACCTCCCTTACTGCAGTTTAAGCCCATTGCTTCTTGTTCTATACTCAGAGGCCAAGATGAACAAGTTTTCTCCCTCCTCCTCATGACACCCTTTTAGATACCTAAAAACCGCTATCATGTCCCCCCTCAATCTTCTCTTTTCTAAACTAAACAAACCCAATTCTTTCAGCCTTCCTTCATAGGTCATGTTCTCTAGACCTTTAATCATCCTTATTGCTCTTCTCTGGACCCTCTCCAATTTCTCCACATCTTTCTTGAAATGCGGTGCCCAGAACTGGACACAATACTCCAACGGAGGCCTAATCAGCGCAGAGTAGAGCGGAAGAATGACTTCTCATGTCTTGCTCACAACACACCTATTAATGCATCCCAGAATCATGTTTGCTTTTTTTTGCAACAGCATCATACTGTTGACTCATATTTAGCTTGTGGTCCACTATAACCCCTAGATCCCTTTCTGCCGTACTCCTTCCCAGACAGTTGCTTCCCATTCTGTATGTGTGAAACTGATTGTTCCTTCCTCAGTGGAGCACTTTGCATTTGTCTTTATTAAACTTCATCCTGTTTACCTCAGACCATTTCTTGAATTTGTCCAGATCATTTTCAATTATGACCCTATCCTCCAAAGCAGTTGCAACCCCTCCCAGCTTGGTATCATCTGCAAACTTAATAAACGAACTTTATATGCCAATATCTAAATTGTTGATGAAGATATTGAACAGAGCCGGTCCCAAAACAGACCCCTGCAAAACCCCACTTGTTATACCTTTCCAGCAGGATTGAGAACCATTAATAACTACTCTCTGAGTACGGTTATCCAGCCAGTTATGCACCCACCTTATAGTAGCCCCATCTAAGTTGTATTTGCCTAGTTTATTGATAAGAATATCATGCAAGAACGTTTCAAATGCCTTACTAAAGTCTAAGTACACCACATCCACCGCTTCTCCCTGATCCACAAGACTCGTTATCCTATCAAAGAAAGCTATCAGATTGGTTTGACATGATTTGTTCTTTACAAATCCATGCTGGCTGTTCCCTATCACCTTACTACCTTCCAAGTGTTTGCAGATGATTTCCTTAATTACTTGCTCCATTATCTTCCCTGGCACAGAAGTTAAACTAACTGGTCTGTAGTTTCCTGGATTGTTCTTGTTTCTTTTTTTATAGATGGGCACTATATTTGCCCTTTTCCAATCTTCTGAAATCTCTCCTATCTTCCTTGATTTTTCAAAGATGATAGCTAAAGGCTCAGATACCTCCTCTTTTAGCTCTTTGAGTATTCTAGGATGCATTTCATCAGGTCTTGGTTTTAACTTCTTCTAAACCTACCACATTCCCACCAGTATTCACTATGGGTATGTCTACACTTGCACCCTCTTTCGAGAGAGGGATACAAATGAAGACATTCGAAATGTCATCAGGCCCTGGTGACTTGCAGGCGTCTAACTTTTCTAGGTGATTTTTAACTTGTTCTTTTTTTATTTTATCTTCTAAACCTACCCCCTTCCCACCAGTATTCACAATGTTAGGCAGTCCTTCAGATTTCTCGGTGAAGACCGAAACAAAAAAGTAATTAAGCATCTCTGCCATTTCCAATTTTCCTGTTACTGTTTCACCCTCCTCACTGAGCAGTGGGCCTACCCTGTACTTGGTCTTCCTCTTGCATCTAATGTATTTATAAAAAGTCTTCTTGTTTCCCTTTATTCCTGTAGCTAGTTTGAGCTCATTTTGTGCCTTTGCCTTTCTAATCTTGCCCCTGCATTCCTGTGTTGTTTGCCTATATTCATCCTTTGTATATAGGCAGTTCCATCCATTTGCAGGAATGGAACATTCATCCTGACTCCTCCTTTATTTTTAGATCATGCAAGTTCTCATGGTTAAGCTAAGGCAGTCTTTTGCCATATTTTCTATCTTTCCTAAGCAGTGGAATAGCTTGCTTTTGGGCCCTTAACAATGTCCCCTTGAAAAACTGCCAACTCTCCTCAGTTGTTTTTCCCCTCAGTCTTGATTCCCATGGGACCTTACCTATCAGCTCTCTGAGCTTACCAAAATCCGCCTTCCTGAAATCCATTGTCTCTATTTTGTTGTTCTCCCTTCTACCCTTCCTTGTCACTTACATGCTTAAATCCCTCTGATGTCAATGTGATTCAAACACCTAATTGAAGATACAACAAGTTGCTTAAGCATCTGTTTATCAGGACCTATATAAATAAATTGGTAGTGCCAAAACAGGACACTACTCCAAATTTCTCCATTTTATCTCTTTTCTGTAAGGTTTATTGAGAAACAATCCTATTCCAGGTTCAACCTATTTTTCTGGCCCATCTTGGTTCAATCTTTTTCAACATTTGCTCAGTTATGTCAATAGTGAAGACTATACTTGCTTTGGTGATTCTGTCTCTTTTCTGGTTGATTGATAGGTTTTATGAGAAACCATCCAATTCCAGGCACATCCTGTTTTCCTGGCACAACCATACCCTTATGTTGCTTTAAGATATGAGATGAGGAAGCTATATACTGAATGTGGTGGTCCTAACTCTTACCATTTATGATAAGTTCTTGATCAAGCAGACAGAAAAACTCTGTAAAATATATAGTAGATATTACTACTGAAATGTAGTTGGTGACCTCTTTGGTGAAGGGCAGCAGGCTAGACAGCATGCTGTCTGCTGTACAGTAGAAGAGGTGAACATATGTTCAAAAGCACCAAGCGAGGAAAACCATGCTGTTAGAAAAATACCATTGTTCTTGTCACTTACATCTAGAACAGTGATTGGATCAAAACGTGGCATACTATGTATAAACACACATGCCCCCTGAATCCATGGTGCAAAGACACTACTCCAAGCTGACTTTGCCCAACCTGTGTCTGATGTATTCCAGAGTATGTCGGCAGAGGCTAAATCCAGCCAGTACCTGGTAAAGAAAAATGTGTGGAAATTTTAAAAAAATAGAATAAAGACAAAAATGATAACGATAAAAATATTACTGGGATCAAACAGTCATTGTCTTGTGTTAAATGAGATTAGCTAAAACCCCAAACAAGAGTGAGCCACCAAACATGGCCACTGTGTCATTATTATAGATTAGCTTTGCAATTTTAATTAAAAAATTGTACCAGTAAAAGGCTTATGATGTCTCAAGACAGAGAATCCTGAATTTATATTTGTGAAATTGTAGGGATTTAGTTTGGGGATTTTTTAATGTGGTAAGAATTTCTCATTTTACTTATCTTTTTATTTGGTGTTCTCTTATCTGTGATTACTTGCCAGTCACAGTGGAATGTACTAGTATCAATGTTATTTTCCCAAAGTAAAATATCCCATGAATCAGTGCAGGCTTTACAATGTTTTAAGCTTTCATAAAGTTATTTTGTTTTTTGTGAGAGATATTCAGTGCATTTCTCATATACTGTGATGAATCTATGCCATTATAAACCATATAAAACCACAAAGTTTCTCTCTTTACAAAACTACTTTTAGATGCTTTATAAATAATCTAATCTTCTTTGAAGATGGCGTAGAAAAGGTTGGTTCCCCCCTTACTACATAGTGTTGGATTTTCATTTAATACAAGTTGAACCTCTCTAGTTCAGAACTCTCTGGTCCGGAAATATCCATCATCTGGAATTATTTTAGTTAGCTGGATGTCCACTTTTCATTAGGGATGGCAACGTGTAGTCGACTACACAATTAACTGATGAGTCTTGACTTATTGGTTAATCTTGTTGACAACACACTCTCCCCCCCACTCTATATCAGAGGCAGCAAGGCGGGGAATGGGGGGGAGTGGGAGCTGGTGCCCATGAAGAGCTGGCTTTAAGCAGGCTCCCCATGAACACCGGATCAATCTCCCCACCTCCACCCCTGTGCTATTGCCTCTGATAGAGAAGCAGCAGCGCAGAGGATGAGGGGGGCAGGCTGAAGCCAATGTGCGGGAAACTGGTTTTCAAGCAGGCTCTCAAAGCATGCAGGCTCCACAAACCTGTCTGCCCTCCACCTTGCTGTCTCCTACAGAGGCAGGGGGCAAGGGGAGAGGCAGGAACCAGTGCTGAGAGGAGCTGGCTTAAAAGCTGGTTCCCCACAACACCAGCTCAGCAGTGCCGTCCCCTCCCTGCGCTGCTGCCTCTATCAGCCTGGGCTCACCGCGGGCAGAGGCTGGTCTGCGGCAGCAGCCCTTGTCCACAGAGGATCCAAGCTCCCCGTGGACAGAGGCTGCTACAGCATCCCACGGAGCAGCCTCTGTTCACAGCAGCAACCCCTGTCTGTAGCAGGTTTGAGCTCCCTGCAGACAGAAGCTGCTCCAGAATCCTATGGAGCAGCCTCTGTCCACAGTGAGCCTGGGCCCACTGTGGGAAGAGGCTGATCCATGGCAGCAGCCCCTGTCCACGGGGAATTCGAGCTCCCTGCAGACAGGGATTGCTGATGCAGACCAGCCTCTGTCCATGAGGAGCTCAGACCCTGAAGACAAGAGCTGCTGCCACACTGCGCTGCTGCTTCTGATATAGAGGTAGCAGCACGGAGTGGCAGGGGGCTTCCCAGGAGTGGGGCCAGGAGCATGCTGGCCGCTGCCCCCACCTTTGGGGACTATCAAATTGTCGTGTAACTGCTAAGATTTCACGTGGTTACACAACTATTCGATTACAGGATATCTAACATCCCTACTTTTCATTGGTGTGGCCAAATTTCCCATGGTCCCATAAAGTTTGTTTACAGCCATCAGTCCTAGCTCTGTGTTCTGTGCTGTTATTTAGCTCTAATTTACCCCTAAATGTCCTCTAACAGCCCTGTAAGCAATGGAAGTGTTGGTAATGCTGCTAGACAACATTGACCTCCTGTGGTCCAGAAAATTCTGTGGTCAAGAACTTGTCATATCCCAAGTAACTAGAGAGTTTCAACCTGTATGAGAAAAACAACTATCCACCAGTGCTTTCATGAAGCTATTCACATTAATTCCTGTCTCCTGGAACAATAATCTTGTCATGACTTGCAAATGAAACTTTCCTATTTTCTAAGTTATTGAGAGAGAGATAATAGTGAAATGTTATGCTTCCTTCACCTCTGCCATGTGACCTTTTTGAAGAAATACCCAGGTGGTTTAAAACAGTTATGATCCATACCTTCCATTTACTGTTAGTCCAATGCCATAACTACTGTATGAATGTTCAGTCATTTTTGGAGACCCTGTTGTACCACTGGTAAAAAAGATGGTCATTGGATCCTGACTCCTTGTGGTCATACAGTTGTGATCAGCCTTAGCATTTCTTTAAAAAACACAAAATGGTGAATAAAGTAAGTTAAAAAATGTAACTTATGGAACCCAGATGATGTTCAAATAAAACAACTCCTTGCAGATTTACAAAAGATGGTGCTTATCTGCACCGAAGGGAGTAAGTTTTTTCCTTCTAAAGTAAGGTTTATATTTAGAGAAGAGTGACTACATATCAAGGATAATGCACAGAACTTAACTGCATATTAATGGGACAGATGGCATGAGATCTAGCTTAAAAAACCCCTCAATCATTACATTTATGTTTTCTCCTTTTTTATTACTCTTGCTATCTGCATTTAAAATTTTTTAATTAAAAAAATCTTGTGATAGTAATAAACTAAAAGGGATATCTCCATTTGGAGCTGGGGATGTAATTCCCAGCTCTGCGCACTAAAATAGAATTTTAGGGTAGCTACTTGAGTATGTGGCTAAGGTCTCTGATGGGCACTAGTCCATCTCACTGTTTGTGCCTCAGTGGCTATACTCTATTCTTAGCATGCTAGTTCGACCAAAGCTAGCATGATTATGTGTACTCAAGCTGGGAATCACACTCCTATCCTTAGAGCTCAGTAGTGACCTAGCCTTATGCCAGAGAAAGAAATAGGAGAGGATCTTGGCTCTACCCATCCACAATATCAGTAAGCACTGCTGAGCTAGGAGGAGTGGGAAGTGAGCTATTCTAGGGAAAAGTTAGCCTAATTATAAAGAACTGACAGAGTCTTTTATCAGTATAGTCACACCTTTGTGAACTGGGCTCATGGAATCAATGTTATCTCACACATCATTTCTCAGGCTTGTAATAGCTGAGCCTCACCCCTTTAAGAAAATAAAACATCCTATCCCTTTTTAGTCCCATTGTATTAGCAAGGTAGTATGGGAGAAACTAGCATTGCCAATGTTCTTTGCTAACAACACCGAGCTAGCCATTTACATCCTCCATAAAGGGTGCTCAAACCCTCAGAAAATGTTGCCTGAACATATATTTTGTGGTTAAATACTAATTTGAACATCATACAAACAAAACAGGTACTGGCCTGTTTTTGGATCCTAACAGAAACAGAATAGAATTGTTTGCTTATTGGTATTTTTTTCCAATTTTCATTTTTCCCTTCTAAAGAGGTGGAAATGTTTCACCATACTCTACATTAATAACAATACAACCACGAGGCTTTTATTTCATGTTACTGCAGCACTTTGATGATGGCAGCTACTCACATAAATAGGTCTTTAAAGTTCAGCCATCCTTCCCTGTGATCCTCTGACACAATTAGCTTGAATTTCAAAGACTGGCATTCAGACATAATGGAATCTACAGCTGGTGCCAGAACATCATCAGTGATAAGACACTTTGCCTTTGATGTTTGTAGTCTATGTAGCATATCTTTTGCTGTCAACTGTGTTGTCCCAGGAATAAGAATAGTTCCTAAAGGAGGAGCCAAGTTTAGAATTTGGTAACAGAATTGTACAAATCTATTAACTAAATTCTCCCCACCTCACTATGGCTACATCCACACTACGAGTTTTCTCAGCAAAAAATATGCTAATGAGGGACTCATTTGCATGAGTTGTGATCTCATTTGCATATTTCCTGCCGATCCGTTTTTGCCCAAAAACAAGCAGTATGGACATTTTCTTTTTATGCAAAACCCCCTTTTTCTGCATTTATTGCGAGGAAAGGGGGTTTTACGTAAAAATAATATGTCCACACTTTTTATTTTTGCGCAAAAACCCCAGCACAAAAACGGATTGGCAGCAAATATGCAAATGAGATCACAACTCATGCAAATGAGTCCCTCATTAGCATATTTTTTGCCAAGAAAACTCGTAGTGTAGACATAGCCTATTAGTAAATCTCCTAGCATCAGAGGATATATGTGTGAGTGAATAGAATTTGGCCCTGTGTTTGTACATATATTGCTTTTACGCAGAGTGAATTATAAATTAGGCTTAATAGTAATTAGCAAGTACTATGCTACAAAATGTCTTTAGTGTAGTAGGATAAGAGAAACCAGCAATAAAAAGATTTCCCTCACGTGGAAGTGGTATACTTATAAGAACAATGGGTTAAATATTAATTTATAAGGGTAAATAGGTTATGTCACTTACGAGTTTAGTAGCTGAACTTTCTTCCTTCAAACTATTTCTTCCTTCCATTCTCATTCTTCATCATGTATCTCACATGTTTTACTATATGAGCCAATTAACAACATACAGAAAACTTCAACCCCTATGTAAAAGACACTATTCTACAAGTAGCCTGTGTTTATATTAAGGGCAGGCAATAATTTTGGCAGGGAGACCACTTCACAAATTTTGGTATCTGAATGCAGGTTGGCTCCAGGCCTCCCGGAAGGGGTGGGGCCTCAGGTAGAGGTGATGGAGATGGGGCTACAGAGAGAGTGTGTGTGTGTGAGAGAGAGGGTATGTCTATACTACCACCCTAGTTCGAACTAGGGTGGTTAATGTAGGCAATCGAAGTTGCAAATGAAGCCCGTGATTTAAATATCCCAGGCTTCACTTGCATCTTGCCAGGCGCTGCCATTTTTAAATTCCCGGTAGTTCGGACTCCGTGCCCGCATGTAGCCGCTTGACTACGATTGACTACATTAACCACCCTAGTTCGAACTAGGGTGGTAGTGTAGACATACCCAGAGACACGTCGTGTGTGAGAGAGTGACTTTGTGACAGTCTGAGTGTGTGCAGCACAGAGACTGGGAGAGTGTGTGTGGGAGAATGTATATTGAAGTCATTGTGTGTGTGTGGCACAGACACAATGTGGCACTGACTGGGTGTGTGTATTAGTGACACAGAGAGTGTGTGTGCTGGCTAAGTTTCTGAAAGAAGCCTCATTCTGTCTCTTTTAAGGGAAATCTGTCCTGCTTTGTTGTCTCCCTCCACCCCCATTCTGCACTTCTCTGAGTCACACATTTCAGATTGGAGTAGCCCAGGTGACATGAGGTACAGAAGCAGTGGAACACCCTGATTTCAACATGCCCCTCTCCCCTTCACTCCCACCCTCCTGCACAGCTATCAAGAGAATCCTGGAAGCAGCTCAGCTGCAGGACAGAGCAAGGTGGGAGGAGGAAAAGCTGAACACACATTGCCAGCTGTAAGTATGCAAGGTCTGCTAATCAGCTGCACAAGCTGGAGAGAAATGCTTGGTGGGCTGGATCCAGCCCCTGAGCCCGAATCTGCCCAACCTTGGTCTATATGCTCATATATAGAGATACAGAGTATTAGATGTACAATTGGTTATACTAGGAAAGGAGGACAGACTTGTCAGGAATCCAAGTCTCAGTTTTACCACAGATTTCCTCTGTGAGCTTATGCAACCCACTTATGGTCTGATTTTCTGACTACCCATGCCTCCCATTGAAATAACTAAACTCTGTTCCTCGGGTCCCCACCTGTAAAATATGGATAATACTTCTGTACCTCATGGAGGTGTTGCTGAGAAAAAGTTATTAATGGCCATGAGGCATTGAGATACTTTGTGTTTTATTAAATATTCAGACAGAAAAGCCTAAATATTTAACACATCCCATTGGCAAAAACAGGTAAGTTCACAAGCAGGCATTTGGGGACATTTGCAGTTTATCATGTGCGATGGAAGAGAGCGAAGTTACTCACCTTCAGTGCAGTAACTGTCGTTCTTCGAGGTGGTGTCCCCGCAGGTGCTCCACTGTGGGTGCTGGGCTTGCCCCGGAGCTGCAGACGGAAGCTTGTGATGAGCAGTGTTTGGCTGGACCGCGCATGTGCCACGGGCTCGCGGCTTTCGTGCTCTTTTCTGTCTCGCGTGGTCCAGCCCCCGACCAGTTCCTCGAGACCACCTCGGAGTCTGTAAGGGTATGTCTACACTACAAAGTTAGTTCGAACTAACGGACGTTAGTTCGAACTAACTTTAATAGGCGCTACACTAGCGCTCCGCTAGTTCGAATTTGAATCGAACTAGCGGAGCGCTTAGTTCGAACTAGGACTGATGTTTGTGTTGACTATACATCAGGCAAGTGTGGCTCTCCCAGGTGAGTGTACGTGAAGCTTGGGTTTCCTTACTGTTCCAGGGTGTAGCACAGTAGGCGTAGCGGTGCAATTCATGAAGCCACATGGAATGCTGATAGAGGTTCAGGGAGGTACAAAATGGAGTTCTCCATGGCCTGCAAAAAGAGGTGAGCCCAGGATTGTTGAACCTGTAGGTCCACAAGACTCTGCAGTATTTATGTTTGCTGCCAGAGAAGCCCCATTTGGTCCTGCCGCATGTCTTCTTTTCCTGCTGGGACCCTGGGCCTCTCTCCTGTCCATTCTAACCTTCTCTATCCAGTCTGTAATATTCACTCTCCCAGGCCCTCTGGTCAGGGTATGATGCAGCACCTGCTAGCAGGATCTGGCTGAACAGGTCATATTGAGTTCTCACCTTTCTCCTCCTCAGCAGCTCCAGCTAAAACACACAGTAATACCACTGTGAGTATATTCACAACAGACAGAAAAAATTAAGATTCAGAACTTCCTTCCCTTCCTCACCTAAAGTTTTAAACTAGACATGTTTATTGACACTTTTGCTTTGGACTGCTTCTGCATGGTACCATTTACGTGCCAGCCATGGTAAATGTGGCCCACTACCAGCCAGGGGAAAAAAGGAGGGAATTATTTAGTTGCATGAAACTGAGTATATGGCAATGGCACGCATAATGGTATCACTTTCCACAAGCAGAGGTGATATGAGTTGCTCTCTCACTCCTGAATGTAACAAAGGCATAGAGAGCATAACTGCTGCTGGCATCCCAAAACTACTTGGGCCCATATGCTGCTAGGCTGTTTACTGCACTGCTACCTGCTGAAGTTATCACTGACTGACATGAGAAAGTGTCCTTCCTTGGAAGGAGAAATAAGGCCGCCATCGACAGAAACCTTTGGGAGAAGATTGCAGTGTATCTCCATGAAATTTTTATTGAGACCTCTCAGGAGGATTCAAAAGACATCCCTGTGGATGTAAACAAATTGTTCCCCAGCCTAACTATAAAAGGAAATGAAAAGCAGGTAACGCTACCCAAATGCATGAAAAACAATAGCTGAATCCTGTTAAGCTGAGGACACCATCGGTGCATCACTATAGAGGCAAATACATTTACACACTGATCCCAAACCCTTTCCTCTCTGTTAGGCTCCTTTGTGCGCAACTGCTAGGACTGACATAACTGTGGTAGAGCCTCAAATAGGTCCTGGCTCATGGCATAGCTGGACCTCCAGTCATATGTCCCCATCCTCCTCTTCTGCTTCAGTATGTCAGGGGTCTGTCTTGCAGGCTCCTCAAAGCTCTCCAGAGTATACTGCAGAGAGGAGTGGTATCTTCACCAAGTATGGTTTGCATCTCTCTGTAAAAGCAGCAGGTCTGTAGTTTGGCACCAGACTGACTGTTGGCCTCCCTGGCATGCCTGCCATAGTATCTTCGGTTGTAGATGCCAACGTTTCCATGGCTGTTCCACAGCTGTGCCTTCAGTCACTTCTCCCCATAGTCCCAAGAGATAGCAAAGTTACTCACTTTGGTGCAGTAACTATCATTCTTCGAGCTGGTGCCCCCGCAAGTGCTCCACTGTAGGTGCTGGGCTTTCCCTGGTGCTGCAGAATGGAGATTTTTCTGGAAGCAGTAGTTGGCCGGACTGCGCATGCGCCGCGGTGGCTCACGGCGTTTGCGCTCTTTTCTCTGACGCGCAGTCCAGCCTCCCGCCAGTTCCTCGAGGCCGTCTCAGAGTCCATAAGACACAAGCAGAAAAGTGGACTCCGAAACGGGGAAGAGGATGGGTAGTGGAGCACCTGCGGGGACACCACCTCAAAGAACGACAGTTACTGCACCGAAGGTGAGTAACGTCACTTTCTTCTTCGGGGATGTCCCCGCGGGTGCTCCACTATGGGTGACTGCGTAGCAGTAGTCGCCAGAACGGAAGGAGGGCAAGGAGTCCCCATTTATCCACTGTGGAGAGCACTGCAGTCGCCACTGCCCCATCTGAACGAGTGATTAGAGAAATAGAATAGTGTTTGGCGAAGGTCTCATGTGAGGACCAGGTCGCCGACCTGCAGATATCCTTCAGAGATACCCCTCTATGAAACGCTGTAGATGTGGCCACGGCTCTAGTGGAGTGGGCGCGTGGTTGGGATGGAAGGGGTAAGCCTTTCACTGCATACGATTGCATTATGTATGAGGTTACAAGATTGGAAATCCTCTGGGAAGATAGGCATTGACCCTTTGACCTCTGTGCCAAGGAGACGAATAAGTGGTCCGTACGCCTGAAAGGTTTAGTGCGATCTATGTAGAATGCTAAGGCCCTGCAGGTGTCCAAGGAATGTAGGGCCGTTTTTTGTGGTGAGGCGTGGGGCTTCGGGAAAAAGGTTGGCAGGATCACTGGTTCGTTGACATGGAAATATGAGATG